ACGATATCAGATCATCCTTGAAAAACACATTGAGGCCTATTTGAGGTTTTGATCAATAACATGTAACATGTTCTAAGTAAGAATGGTCACTTAGTTGAATTATTTATGACCATTTTAATGTTATTGTAATTTTAATGGTTAATAAATTAATATGCATGTAAATGTATGTGAACCTAATTATAATACATACTATAATGCCAGTCAATCATATTAATGTGGAGTTGCGTAAGACTTGTAATCAGTTAAATTTTTACTCTTAAGAGAAAGTTACGCAACAAGGGCAAAGAGAAAAGCAGAGAGAAAGGTTAAAATAGTAACAAAGTGTTGCAGGAAACACAAAAGTTAAGGAGGAGAACAACTCAGAGGCCTCCCTCCCTCTCCCTGTCAGATAATCTAAAAGCTTAACGTCTTTGATAGCAGCTCGTCTTCTTCCTCACTCTGCTGTGACAAAGCTACAAACTACTGTTTTCTACCTGAGCCGGAGAAGAGATCAAACAATGGAGCTTTAAGCAGCTCGGCTCTGAAACACAAACCTGATCTACACACACACACAAAACACACACACAAAACACACACACACACACAAAACACACACACAAAACACACACACAAAACACACACACAAAACCAACTTCTGACTCAGGGCATGTTCACACACCTTCGAGCACATGCACGCTCTCATCCAACATGAACGTGTGTGCTCGTGCACACTAACAGATGAGCAGATGTAGGTCTGTGTGTGGGAGCGGTTTGACTCAACAAAGGGAGAAGAACACACCACCACCCTCCTATTTTCTTTGCTTCTTTCTCTCACAAATATACAGAAGATGTAAATGAAGATAACTGAGCAGTAAGTGTGGGTGTGTTTCCACTAAACACTGCTCTTCTGAGATGCTTACAGTGTAACAGATTTATCAAGCATTAATAATCTGCATGGAGACGAAACATTACGTTGTGTTTCCCTCTTTTGTTTCCACCAGTACAGCTGTGCTCCGTCACTGCTGGGAAAAAAAAATCATACAGAACCCAAAACATGACATGATGTGATATTTCCACTGTGTCTTTAACACCATCAAAAATATGTTTATGCATTGAGAAATGTTTCAGAGATATATCGGATGTTTCCAGAGACGGTGATGTATACAACTGTCACAGCAGAAACAAAGGCATACTGGTGATGAGTGTGTGATGGGGGCTGGGGTGCTACGGATATGAGCTGTGGCTTTGAGGCAGCTTCATGAATCGGTTACAGTTCTATCTGCTGAACCATCCCAGTACTGTTTTCAACCATGAACAAAGACATACATGAGAGCAGTGTTCACTGTGGTTTATTATATTAATGACGCACGTTGTCCATTACAGTAACAAAAAGGTTATCACATTATAATGTAATGAAGAAAGAAGCAAAGAAGTAAGCCTCAAAGGTCTGTGCATGCAGCATGTTACATATCTGATGCTCTCTTTACATGTCAGAGCTTAAAATGCTGCATATACTCTATTTATATATGTACAAGACATGCAAGTATATTTGAGTTGATATGATTTTGTCGCTCTAAATTACAGCACTTTCTGCCAATGTTTAGATTAAAAGATCAGAATACTCAAATGCCCATAAACACATATATTTGGCTATCCACTTTATCAGGCACACTTCTACAGACTGATGTGATCCAATTCCATGTCAATACAGTAATAAATTGATTTGCTGCTGTGCACCCTTACCACTAACCAACTAACTAACGGTAGCAAAACAATATATTTAAAAGCAAAACATGAATAATACAGGCAACAAGAAAGCAAACTTGCAGTTGCAGTGCTGTACTGCAGCGGTCCCCAACCTTTTTTGCGCCACGGACCGGTTTATG